TATTGAAATAAAATTGAACCATGTGTTAGTCCCGAAATGACCTAGTTTGTGTCGAGTGGACGTTAAACCCCATTTCTCTCTATCTCTCTATTTTCCAGTTTAGCTTATAAATTTATGAGGCAATTTACAAAAAGAATTTATTAGGTAGGCGAATGCCCTCGCGAATGCCTAGATTCTGTCAACAAAGTGCCCTTTATCATCTGCCCCCGCCTCTCATCGCCCCTTCTAGTCATGCAGAATTAATTAGTAACTTTTCATTAATTATTAAAAATTATTTTGAAAATACCAAGCCTAACGGAGAAAATCTAATGCAAATAGAAAATAATGAGATGGTACTCTGATATAGTTATGTAGATATATTATAACAAATACAGAGTATTTTATTTCTCCGCCGAAGGATAATATGGAATCAGACATTTTGCCTATGGTCATTTCCTAATATAAACGCACTTTTATTAGAATAAAGTAATTATTATGATACAAAGGTAAGAGCTGATCGAACTAAGCTTTTTATTCAGTGGAATGGCCTGGTGGTGGTGTAACAATTGGTTAATGTGTCTGGACTAATAGGTCTGGCACCCCTTGGTAATATCGCGACTTCTTAAATTATGTATATATCACTGCCTGATCCTTAGAACATCTAAATCTTTTCTTATAAACTCCGATTCTAAACAACTTTTGATTCAATGGAATGATCTGACAGTGGCGTATCAAATTTTAGATTTGCTTACAGGTACTCGTTCACTAACCCGGGCACCTCTCGGCAATATAGTGATTTCTCAAACGCCGCATCCTTTTTGGTTTTGTAAACCCCCAGTTCTAACCAATGAGGCAAGGGCAAACATGTTAGTTCCTTGGTATAGCTTACTTAAAGTGTAAAGGGGAGTTTAAAGGCTACTTTCCATCGTTAAACAGTATCCAGGTCTTTCAACCCAAAATAGACAAGCGGGGCTCACACGACACATTGAGGTACTTAATCGGTGATAAATTCTGTAGGCTTAGCTGGTTTATTGTAAATCCGATTCAAATCCTACCTGTCAGTATCTGTTATATTGATATTTATTAGGGTTTCACACTGAGTAGCTTGTTAGAAACACTATTGTTTTTGTTAAGATTATTATTAGGGTTTCGCACTGCGTAGTTTGTCATGTTTGTCGCCAAGAGTTACTCCCCTTTAGTCTCGGATAGCCGGCCGGAATTATTTCAATCACCGCTGACAGACACTGTCGTCTCAAATCACCGAAAGACTAATTTCTTGTTCTTTTAAAAAATCTTTAAACGTTAAAAGTATTTTTTTGTCGATATCCGCATTTTTCATTTGAAGGAAAGCAAGGACGGACTAGATCTATTGAGAATATTTTGAAAAACGAACGCAAGCACGTGGCCAAATAACGACTTTTTAAAATGAGTGTAAAAATGTTTCCTAAATAGTTCCGAAGAAAATCCCTAAATATTTGAGCTACAATATCGCTAAACACATTCCTGTTTCGTATTTATCGGCTGTTTATTTTCCATTTAACCATGTTTGATTTATCCATTAGAACACGAGCCGCCACAGCGTCGATTTGTTCTAATGATTCATAAAAGTGGCACTATTTAATGCCTAATGTCACTTATAACTAGGTCAAACCAATTTAAATGTAACCGGAAATGGCGTCATTAGGGCAAAAACTAATATTTTATTCAACTGATTCGTATTTATTATTTCTTTATAATTCAGATATTTGATTCGAATCAACAAATAGAATGAACCCATGCGTTCATATAGATATCACAAAATTGTTCCTAACTTGTTCAGTTGTGTAGAAATAGGCGATTTTCTACAGGTCACTTTTAAACGTGTTTGGTCCATAAAAATGTTAATTATTATTCAATCTTTATAAAATGTTCACCATGCGGTGCCTAATGCCATTTACGATTTCATAAAGCTAATTTAAGATTTTCATTATAACCGGAAGTAATGTTATTTTGGCAAAGTAAGTGATATTCATTATTTGTATAAAATTATGAAATTCGATTCCAATGGACAAATTGTACGAATCAATACGATCCTACAGATATCAAAAACGTGTTTTAAACACCTTCCAACGCCGAGAAATAACCAATTTTGCGAGGATCACTTTTTAAGACTTTTCGCATTTTAATATATAAAACTGTTCATATTTTAATCAATTGTCTGTCCCTCAAAGGACAGTCGAAGTGGTTATTTCTGTAATCCAATTTAAATATTGTGTTGATAATGGAAGTGATGTCATTGTGTCGAGTCTTCGTTCTATAAACAGAACTGATATTGCTAGATTTATTGGCTAATTCTACGTCCATTTTATAACACGTGTGCGGTGTGCATATGAAAATCTGTATAACGTTTCCATTGGTACGGGAAGTGACGTTAGTTGAAGGGTAACGTGGCATCGCTGAAACCCGTCATTACTGCATCGCAGTTCTAGTCATAAATATCATGTACAAGTCGACCACGTAGGACCAATTCCCCATTCACGTTGATATGGATGAGCGGTAATCAGGTATTTAAACTAGGAAACCAGAAGGGTTGGAGGGGGGGGGGGGGCTCCCTTAACAGAGTAGCAGAAGCTGGACAGACCGATAGATCCGTGTAGCTGCTGGATCAAGCGATAAAGTGTTTTGTAAACCCTAAGTGTTATGAAGACGAATAAACCACTTCCCCATGTTTTGTACTCCTGTTGAGTGGTGATTTTTAAATATCCATTCATTTAAACGTCAAGTCCTAATAGTATGGAGAAAAACAAAGATGACCTATCTAATCAGAACTTTTGCTATCAACTTAAAATCTTCTGCAAACTTTTTTTTAACAACCTTACACCCGTTACTATCTCGAGGTAATTGAATTAATTATATAATGCCCATAAGCTAGTAACAGATGAGTTTGCAACAAGAGTTCATCATGTTCACTGATAACCATATGCATTTTAAGGTCGGATAAACTAGAGATTTGTTTACATGGCAACGACCTTGCACGAGAACAGGTACGATCTTTCCGAATCAGTGCAAAGTGTATCCAGGCAGACGGGGTAACTGACCAGTGCATTGGTCTGTTTACTATTAGCGGCCAAACGCACTCATAAACATGTAGCCAACTAAAACTGATCTTTTTACATTATGATCAAAACAAATATAGCTGCATGGTTGGTCACATGATGAATTTTGTTGTGTTGACCATCTGGTTATAATGTTATGGAAGCCATTATCATCATTCCAACAAGAAACCTAGAGTGTTAAACTTTACACACAGTTTTTGCCACAGACATAATGAGACGGTTAAATTAAGAACTACTTTCTAAATTGACCAAGAACCCTTTTTTATTGAGTAAATAAGCGGAGTAAGGGAATATGATAAACGTGGAGTGACAAGGATAATTCCTGGAACGGAATAGTGCTTATATTCATATTTTTGTTATGACAATCCTTCACATGATCTTGCTGAAAAAGTTTTGCTGTCTAATTTGATAGTTTGATTAGGTTAGTATAAAAGTGTTCTTTTACAGTACCGTAACCATGTTTTTAGCTATAGAAAGTTCAGTGGACTAATATCTTTCAACGTTATTTATATCGGGGTTTTTTTTCTCTCCAACTTTGAAATACTGCTTAATTGAATTTCCTTCTAAATACCATTCCTGTGGAGCGAACTTTGCAATCAATTGTGAGTGAGAAAGGACGCTTTTATTCACGATAGTCACATCTGATAATAAAATTAAATGTCAAAAGTAAATGTAAACGTGTCCCGAAACCTTAGGAATATAACTGTTGAAGGATTTTTGAGAAGGTTACAATTTGACATTTTCAGTCAAGTGCATACACATTCTTAAAAGGGTTTCTCAATTCTAATCCAGTTCAGTTGGTTGTAAAATTGTCCTTGTTTGTAAATTTTATCTTTATTTCTTAATACAATGTATGATGGGTTGAAGGAATGCGGCGGGTTGCTTTTATAGAGAAGAAAGATTTGTAGATTTCTTGGCGCAAAAACATCTTATTTTGTTTTTGATAATAGTCAAATTATTGATCATTGCTTGATAAAGATACATGTAAGAGTATTGAAACGTTGCATGTAATAAACCAAGAAGCAGTAAATCCATAAAGTTGTGTTATTATGAAAATTAGATAAGGGTTAAGAAATGTTCACGACCAATTAAAGTTACAATTTCACATTCTTAAATATTAAAATAAAGCCCTAAAATAGATGGTATCTATAAACAGTCCTACCTTGTTAAAGAATAATCCTATTAATCCGATAATGCACTGCTGCCAGTTGAGAAATTGGCAAAAATATCATTTTCAACTTCAAATTCAAACGTTTGAAGATAGCTATTCCATGGCGGGGAATAGGAAAACAAGGGAGGTAATTGTGTTATTATTTCCAGTGTGAAGATTTTTAAGTGTGAGAAAGATAACCTATGATCGTATAATAGTGAGTTGACAACCTATTGAGCAAAAGACATAGAAATAATTATGTTTTGACTTTCTTAGAAAATATGAAATTGTAACTTTAAATAATATGACTCATATGTTTGTTCTTCGAATTATTATATACGCAATCGTATTGTTAAGATTCCTTTACAAGTGTTTGCACACGTCTGGTACAGTGACGCAGAAACAAACTTTCTGGAATTACGTAAATTGTTGCTTGTATAAATTATTCTGCGATTTTATAATTCTCCACATGTTCCAACTGATATTGATCTGAAAGAAATCTGATCGCTTTGAAAGTCAGAATTATTGAATAACAATGTTATGTTAATACATTGCTATAGACGCCGCTTTCTTTAACATAGATAGACAACAAGCTGTATGATGATGTTCATTTAACTTTGATTATCATTATATCATTTTCTAAACATTGGCGATCTTGAGTAAATGTTATTTCGATATTAATTTAAATTCGAAAAACAGTGTTACATAATTTAGTATTGATAGTGAAATTTATAGCTATGAAATATAATTAGTGTGTTTTTTCTTTCATCCTACAGGTGCCTTTAATTCGCTGAACAATCAACGAACGACAGTGCCATGGAAGGGATGTGTAAATGTCCTTTAGTTCTATTGGGAGTTCTCTTTCTTAATCTAGGAACTGTGTTAGGACATCTAGAGTGGACATGTACATTAGAAACAAAACGAGAAGCCCCACGGGGTGTGTGTGGTCGACGGTTACCAGATCTATTGTCTCTAGTTTGTGTATCATTTGGTGGTTACAGAGAAAAATGGTTCAGAAAAAGAAGTGATGAAGGTTAGTATACTAAAATCTGATTCTGGAATATTTTGTGTGCTTCTAATTCCATTAAATTGGTTCTAACGTTATCTGATAATACATAATAATTAGTATTTAGAAATAGAGTAACCCCACCCGTCCCTTCTTTTTTGCTGAAAAGAAATGCCCTCAAACCATTAATAAATATTTTGCCGTGTAAAAAGTACCCGGTATATGTCTCTCAACAAGAAAAATATACCTATCAAAATCAAAACACATACTCCCTTAGAGCAACTATTTTTGTACTAACAATCGTTGATCACCTGTGAAAAGGACCGATTTGTCTGAAACTGTGCATACCCTTTAATATGAATGTGTCTAAACGGCGGCCGATCAGTGCTTGTGCACCTTAATAATCATCCTTTTTTTTGTCTTTTACAGATACAGCCCATAATTTGAAAAATATAATTCTTGGAAAACGAGATGCCTTTTCCTATTTGAGTAAGAGAAGATCATCATATGGAGAACAGGGGATAACATGTGAGTGTTGCTATCACGCCTGCAGCTTTAGAGAACTTAGGCAATACTGTAAAGATCCCAACCAAATCAAGAAACGTTCCGTTTTAATTGGAAATAAGTAAAACACTTCAGACCAAATGTATAATTGCTACGAAACTGACAGGATAGTAAGCAGAGGGGACAAGCTTCATTTTGTGGAAGATACAGAAGTTGAGTCAGGTTTCGTTTTAAAAGTCAACAAACATCTACCGAAGTCAAACTATTTTTTGCATATAGATGATTAGGCTGTATAACATTGTATGATCTAATCACCAGACTTATGATAGTTTTATCGTAAAACCGTGACTTTAATAATATTACATACCTAGTCATATTCATACTGTTATTCGAAAGTGTGATATACAGTTCTTAAAATGTGTTGTGAACTTTTTGATAAAGACATTTCTATTTTTAATTAAGACAGAACGATCTGGCGACATAAGTGGAACAATCTTTCTATTTAAAAAATACCCCTGGTATTCAAACCAAATGGTCTCGGATCTAGAAAGATCTCTGATTGAGATTTCTTTAAACGACTTGAATAATAACTCTATTTCTTTATTGAACCAGAGACGCCTCTGATTGTACTGAAGTGGATACTGGCATAGAAAAAATGTTTTCAGTGCGGAAGTAAAGTCGGCCTTCCTACCGGATTGGTGGCAGTAATTCAATGAGGCTACAACAGACAACTGTAAATGAGGGCGCAGATGTTTGTAATTTGATCAAAGAAGATGTCGGCCATATCGGTCCGTCTGTTCACTTCTGGTGATAATTACAGATTAGTCTCGCGTAATTAATAGATAATTATTAATTAATATCAGAAAATCTGGCTTGTCTTTCTTTATCCCCAGTGACATTCATTGCTCCAGTCAAAGGTATCTACCAATTAGGTCTTGTGTTAGAAAGCAAAAATCGCGAAGGACATCAGGTGTAGTGATATCTAAGTAAAGACATACGAATTCGTATTAATAAACTTTAACAAAGAGTGCTTTGGTTAATAATTATGGGATTTCCTGTGATAGGTTAAACAAGTGTAAGTTAAATTTGTAGACCAATCCCATCCCAGGAAATATGTTTTTCTAAATAAAGAATAAATATAACAGTTGTGGAAAACATTGGTTTAATCTATAAACAGTGCAGGGTTTATTTAAAACCTCCAGTGAACATAAAGCATACAAACTTGAAACTATATCAGTAATAGATTGTCTTTGTTGGGTTTTTTTTTCTTATGGATATTTCTTTTGTTAACAGTGGGGCATGGTTGATACTAATGGTGTTATTTATCGTTTCTATAGTTATTCTTAATTTTGCTACTTGTCATTTATGTTATCACACATTGTTGTTACGTTACCGTTTGCAATATGTCATATCTCACATTGGTACCTAGTGGGGTGGGGGGGGGGCGAATGGTTAGCACGTGCACGCTGTATCATAAGGTCTGTCATTGAGTCAACTGGCGGGGTTTCGATTCCCCGGTTGTGCGTGAGTAGGATTATGATCGCCTGTCCAACCTCGTGGGTTTTCTCCGGGTCCTCCGGTTTCCTCCCATTGCTAAAGACCCCTACACGCAAGCGAATCATTGAAATAAAAATGAACCATGTGTTAGTCCCGAAATGACCTAGTTTGTGTCGAGTGGACGTTAAACCTCATTTCTATCTCTATCTCACATTGGTATTTACAATGTCATGAAAATGGAAGGTAAAGAAGCTTGGAAACAGATGGTAACCTTGTAGTTAATAACACGATAGTATTCGCCGTAGTATTAAATAGTGATCTTTAAATTTTTAAAACCGAACCAGATCCTTAGCCCCGGGCTGCTTTGATTTACTAATAGATATGTATTGTTTGAGTATAGTCTAGTCCATATATATATATCGATAAGCATACAAGAAAGTATTATTAAGCTACGACTACATTACTTTTAAACATCCATTGACTTTTGTAGAAGTTTGTTGGAAAATGCGAATTTGTGTCATTGTGTTGACTAGAACGACAAGACGCTGTTTTATCTTGAATTCTTTAATAATGCTTCATTTTCTAACCCAGACATTCTTTGAAAGGTTATACATTAACTTTTAACAATGAAATGCGTCTTCGGTTTCGGAAAAACCTGACGTCCCATTTGCATAACTACCGTACTTACTTCTTCAATAACCTTATCAAACACGAATTGGAAGTTCGAAAAACTATACATTAATAGCACAAAAACAAATTGTTTTTGCATATATCCAGAATCGATATGTCAGGTCTTTAAAAAAAAATTTTATAGCATTTAAATGAAATGTTCAAGTGTTCTTCAATCAAAAGTTGTGGGATATTTTACGATGGCTATGGTAACACATTGATTCTGCTGAAATAAAGGCTGTTCGTAAAACACAGGCGAATCTTATTTATTTAGATACGGTAATGCCATAGTGCTATTAATGCACTTTAAAATGTGTAAAAAGACCTTCTAAGATATGTTAGAAATACTGCAACAGCACAGTGGACGCTTTTACGACTGGCCCCCGGATCCATTCACTTGATTTGATATTTGTTTATTTGGTGCAATGTCTATTTTCTGTCTTGTCCGCAGGTTTATCTTGTAGATTTTTGTTTTACGTGTAGTGCGGTCCTCCTGCACTTACTAATAAAGTCAACATTTATAACCCAATACCCTATTGCGATGTAGCAAAAGCTCGCTATTTCGTGCGAGACACGCACCACATACACTATCCCATGATCGATAGACAGTCTAGCGAATCCACGACGGTTGTGATGTGTAGTATAAAGCACGAGATTGAGGAGTTTATCTTGCTTATAAACCGTCTATGTTTACATATACGTAAAATGAGAATATCCAAGAATTCCAGTAAGAAAACCACCCTCATATCATGTTTTCTTATGAAAAAAAAACTACCATAGAAGAATAACCCGTTAAAGGTTTAAAGACAAACTTTCAGAAGAATAATCCCAAATTCCCCTGTATATATCCAAAGCCGCCCCTGACTTTCAGAACGCAAGTTATTCTGGGCATAGAATATACCCAAAAGATCAAAGAGATTTACCGTTATAGGTATATAAGTTATTGTAAAGTTCACTCCCCACCCTATAAATTCTGGGGGATTTCAGAAAAGTCCAAACGTGAAGCGTTGAGCATATGAGCATACACAGAATATGGGTTTCGCACAGTCTTGATCTTTTACATACATACCTGTGTGTGGATTATTCCAATGTCTCGGATTTTAAACTAGCGATGCATTAGAGATGCGGATTGATTGATAAAAAGCTGCCCCTGAGTGTCCCTTGTAGAAAGGATTCATTCATACAAACTAAACTATGAAATGCGTCTTTGGTTTCTGAAAACCTGACGTCTCATTTGCATAACTACCATACACTGCGTTCTACGATTAAATGAATCCTATCTTACAACATGCGCGTGCACGTTAAGCGTGCTGCTTAGAACGTTGTGCACCACTCCAGCACGTAACGTTATGCAGACCGGAATAGGGAGTTCCCCAGGAGTTTTCATTAAACAATATCCCGCAGAGTCATTAAAAGCGCCACAGGATTATTTTCCTGTTAAAGATTACACCAAGGAACTTAGTCTTATCCTTGATCTGGACAACCTACCGGACCACTGAGGCGTCCGGTCAACTTCACAGTTCTTGCATCCTGCAAACTAATATACCCACCGTATTTGCAACAGAGATTTCGAAGCCCATTGGTACACATGGTGGACACATTTAACCCTCAATGCGTCACACACGTGTGTAAAACCGGGCCAGTGGTATACTGTATTCATGGCCAACGTTATTCCGTGGCTGATGAAGTACACTTTGGTGTCATTTACTACCATACTGCAAAGAGGAGTGCTATTGCCGAACCAGTGTTCCGTATTTTTATTATTGTTCTTAATGACTGCAATGTATAATATTGTGCCATCAATGTAATGTATATTTTCTATACTTATACGCCGTAAGGCATTTGGTCTTGAATAAGATAATTACTCCTAACTGAAACTCAAACTCGGTATTCAGTTGTACTTGCTGCCATATGTAGGCCTACTACGATCAAGGAGCGTTTGTACATTACTGTCCGTCCTACCGGAAGAAGACCAGACGCGTTCGGGAGATCTATAACATTATATATGGATAGTTGCCATTCATCAGCCGTCTTCATTACCCCAGTCGGAGCGGAACAGTAGGACGTTAAACCCCATTTCATTTCATTTCACCATTCATCAGAGTTGATAACATACCATACTGTAGACTCTGGTTGCTCTCTAGATAATATCGTATATCGTTCAGCAGAGTCACTAGTGTTTTGCAGTTTTGAAATGGGGCGTAACGGAAGGTAAGAATCTTTCAATATCGGTCACATATAATTTGCCATTCAGCAAGTGATTCAGCAATCTCACAAAAACATCAGATAAACTTAACGGTGTTAGCCTTGCGTTCTCGTAGCTAGAATCGGTCCAGTGTCATTACAACTCAACACAGCGGTGTCCGTAACACGGGGAAGCAGAGGCAACTTCCCCCGTTGTACTAACAATATGGTGACAACATGACCTTTAAACTCACTGTTCATCATTGGAGGGATTTTGAATCCATTCCAAACTACAGTATTTTGAAAGTTGGGTCACTAACCTTAATATCAGTCTAAAAAGGGTGTTCAGTATTTTGATATTGTCCGAAAAATGACGAACGGCGAATTTAACTGAGTTTAAGTTACAACGTGATTCCCTAGGCCTATAGTTGACTATATCTATTTCCTTTTTATATTAGGGAATTTGCGTTCGTATAGTTTAATCTGAATTATGATTGCCGATTCATGCTGTTGTCCCCAATTACCTAGAATTTGAGTTTAGATTACTTCCTCAATTTCGACATAATATTCCAACGCATATCCGGAAAGCTACATCCTTTTGCAATGTAATCATACTATTTCTACATCCGTCAGGTTTGTGGGCAGTCAGTTGCCTAGAAGGCTGCATCTTTGGATCGTTAGACATGGTATATGTACAGTCTCTAGATGTGCTGGTGGGTTCAGGGTATCGTTTTTGGTATGTTTGCCTACCATCCAGATTAGGGATTTTGAATATAGGCAGGGCGATCTTTAACAAAATCAGTGCACTGGCCCCAATCTACACAACCACTTACAGGAATAAAAATATAAATTAAACACATATTTATTGTATTGTTATAACTTCCAACAAAATCAGTGTTTGAACATTAAAGGAGCTAAATCGCTAACATTTGGGACCTAGAAATTGACAAAAGTGGGTCGCAACGCATATAATACTGTAATATGAATGTATATAAACTGATTTACATTCAATGGTTTCCGTTTTTACTCCAATTTCAAATCGGCGAAATAAGCCAGCAGTCTCAATCGATTGCAAATTTCTAGCGTCTGGTTATTCCAGTCTACATACCCCGTTTGATTTGATGCAATGTGTCTAGCCTCGTCCCTCGAGTCTCTTGTTACAACTGGGGCTGAAGCGCGTTATGGTACACGATTCGTGTACCAATGGTAAAATGTTTATTTTGTCTTACATATTGGATATCAAAAGCCCATCTTTTTCTGGTAAGATCTCAACATCAATGTTGATTTAATTTGACAAATAAATCGTGTTTTCAATGTTGAAGATTTTGGATGATACTGAGTTAAAGACTTAGCTACTTTAAGAACAAAGATACTGTATAGCAAAATTAGTCAACACAAACGTTTGAGCGTGAGTCTTGAAAAACATAACAAGCAGTTGCCATGCAAGATACATTTTGTAAGAGATTGGCGGGGAACAGGGAAAATCTATAGGGTCTTGTCCGGAATTGTTTCACATCGAATTTTTTTAAAAATAACTTGTGATTTGATGCACACCAAACCTTACTCAAGGTCTTTTGATTCTTAACATTTGTTAAATTTCATCTGAATCGGATAACAATATTATTGTAGCCTCTGGAGAATCCGCAAACGTCATACATATTTCACGTTTTGCGTAAAAAGCAGGGATTATAACTCTAGAATGGAAGATCTGATGCGTACCAATATTGCACTCATCCAAGAACATGGAAAAAAACCCCAAAAAACACATGCAATTGAAATCTTTTTGTAATATTTCTATGGAATTATGACAAGCATTGGTAAGTTGTATGTGTCTATGCTGTGTTCGGAGAGTCTCAATTGTTATCCATCGTTCATCCAAATACATGGGGCAAACTAACAAGTAATGATAGCTGCCTTCAAATTAATGCTCACAACTACAAGAAGGATTTTGATGAATATGTCTGAGAAATTTGTGACCCTTTAAATCGGTCATATTAAGGCAGGGTTTTGAATGAATTATTTGATATTTTCTAGAGCCATGTTAAAAATAGTATGGAGGTAAAATATCAAATTTAGAGAGATCATTTTTGAAAATACTAAGATAGGGCAACTGCTCGACAGCATCGGGTAAAGAATTCCAGAGTCTGACTGCAGAGGGAAACAACGAATTATTAAAGAGCGCAGTTCGCTTATAGAATTCAGGAATATTGTTATTACGAAGATTATAAAAAATAGTTCTAGAGGGCATTACATTCTTTTACACTATTTGCGCAAAGGGGAAAGGCCATTTTCACGAAACTCGAACTAAACCCTAATTATGATATATATGAAAAAGGAAACAATTCCAACTGTTCCTAATTTGGTCACAGTCGCGTGAAAACTTAAATAGTTGCAGACTACCCATAGATTTCCCAATTGATGTCAATGTTAATTCTCTTGTCTTTGACCAACTCGAACTTTTACTATAAGGGCTATAAATAAAGGGTAATTAATGGTGGTCTTGATCCAAATGAATGTTCATTACAGATTGAAATTTATCGTGTGTTATACCTTGCATCGACCTTATAATGAACGATAAATCAACCACCGTTTACAGTTTAGAAGCCCTACTCCGCCGACCCGACCTTCAAGGCAATAGGGCCTAAACATTCGGAACCTTCCTCCTTAGCCGACAGGTGCATCAAAAAAAATCTAACAGAGGTCCGGGAGACGTCAGCAGTTTCGGAATCTCCGGTTGCCAATTTGCTTCAGATCTTATTGCCATGCCTTTCTCAGATATTCATGGAAACAAATAACATATTCCACTGCCTAAATCACTTATTTAAACCTGATAACAGCTAACAAAAGTGCAACTTCCCAGCTTAGTTTTTTCCCCTTAAAATGTAGTAAATTTAAAGATGGTGTTAGAATGAATTGAAAGGCCATATGCTATAATAATGTATGTATGTGTGGGTGAAGAAGGATGCTCACTAATGGGTTACTGAAAACTTTCAAAATGCATTAGACTAAAAGCACGGTTGCATTTCAAGCAAAAATCAACTTTTCATCTGAAAGATCACTCTAACCAT